GCCCATCATGCTGAGGGCCCATCATGCTGAGGGCCCATCATGCTGAGGGCCGCTCAGACCAGCAGACTCTGCTGATGTCATCGCGGCTCCAGGTGTGTCAATCAGAAACTCGGTTCTGTTTACTTCCTGCATTTCTTCAGGGCCGCTGTGTTTATCAAAGCTCTTTAGGGGCCCCTGACTTCGGCCCCGCCCGCTCCTTCAGCCAGCGGCTCATAGAGCGTAAATCAAACAACAATCCTCAGAAGGAACCAGAACTTTAGAAACGCTCTTTCAGCTCCAATCGTCACGTTTTTATTGGACTTCAGCTGCTTTTCAACCACCTTAAACCTGGAAAATCCTGGAAAATCAGGTTCCAGGCATGCGGGGGGGTTTGCTGCCAGTCCGACCCGATCAGAGGTTCTACGTCCTTCAGAACCGCTGAACCTGAAGCGAGCCGACCAGGAGCCCAATCAATAGCCCCCCCTCCCCCTACAGAGAAGCAAAAGCAGAGCCGCCCTCCAGCCGACCTGGAGGTCACAGCAGAAACCTCTAGAAGCCCCTCCCTCCCTCCCTCCCTCCCTAGAAGCTCTGCCGCTCTGAGAATCGTCTCTTTTCTCTGAAACTGTTGCTCCACCTGCAAACAGAACTGAAGTTGGGCTCTGATTGACGGCTTCTTGTTGATTAAAGGAGCATTTCACAGTTTTTAACCCGACCTGAAACCATCAGATCAACCTGGAAACGGATCATTTTAAACATCTGGTCCAATTATTGAACCTTTTTCTACTTAGAAAATAATAACAAAAGCAGAATTTCATAACTAAATTATTGGAATTGGATCCACCTGCAGGTTTCTATTTAACATATAATCAAACATCTTATCAACTAAACAGAACGTTAAGTTCAAACAGAATAACCTTGTAAAAAAGTAATGTTGTGTTTTAAAGCGTTTGTTGATTATTTATAAACTTTACAGACTAACAGGAATTTAAGGAGCTGATAAGAGTTAATTATTCAGTCGGCTGCTTCACAGACTTTCTGCTCCTTGGTTGTGAAATAGAGTTTTAAAGGCCAGCAGGACTGAGTGGTGCGTCCTTTCTACACAGGACCGCCTCCAGGAAGCTGCATTTCTCTTTCCTGGAAGCGGATTCCTTTCAGCCAGCTGACCAGCAGTGTGGCCTTGACTTTAGTATCCATTCCACCCCTCAGTTACTGGTATTTTAAATCTTTAAAGTCCTAAAATAGAAATATAAACAATGATGGCGTAACGCTCTGGGCCCCATAGGAAGTAAAACACGTGATAAAGTTTCAGGATACGACGACGGTTCCAGAAATCGCCCAAGAAGATACAATAACGCAAAAGAGACGTCTGAAAAGAGACGTCCTGGTTGCGTAGGGGGCCAACCAGTGATGGGCGGATTATTCTTCTGCATCCGCACACATCAAATGTCGCTTGGTTCTGGTCGCGAACCAGTTTTGCCGCTACGCTTCTGCACCGTCGGTCTGGAATTTCTAGCGACGCTCAGCAGTTTCCCGCCAAAGCGTAAGGAGGAGCTTATTAGAGAACTTCAGCGGCGCCGACGGGAGTGCTTATCTTCCAAAACAACAATGGCGCATCTTTAAGATAACACGGTCACGGAGATAGATCTAGAGTTGCTAAATATCGGATTGTGTTCTGTTAATGGAGTTCGCAAAAAGAAAGATTAGCCTTTCGTCATAGTTGTCCAGTGTAGTTTTTAAAAATGGCGCGCCGATCACAGCTGCTTTTTGTCTGCGCACTTCCGCATAAGGTTATTAATGAAACCTAACAAGGTCTGCGATGGTTTGCGACCGTCTGACGCATAGTTAGGATTTTTTTGAGCTGCATGATGACGGTTGCAGAGTCTCTGGTTGGGGGGCGCGGTCGCGCACAGAGACAGATTTGACGGCTGCAGAGGCTATGCGTCAAAAGCATAAATGAGCCTAAATCGTGACTACTCGTCGGACGGTCGCACATCAGCGCAGACCTCAAGCTGAAGTACGCAGACAAAAAGCAGCTGTGATTGGTCCTTGGTACGCCTCTCTGGCCGTCTGTGTGCTCGTCCTTCTCTATTCGGCCCCGGGGCCATTTCTACAAACTGAGGAATAATAACAACAATAGACAACTATGACGAAAGGTCGATGGAGAAAGTTCGGAAGTACAACCACTGTATAAATATTATCTTTGAGGTCTAGCAACTCTAGATCCATACAGTATATCAACCAAGATATCCACTGTGGTATTCTGAAGATGCGCCATCGTTGTTTTGGAAGATAAACACTCCCGCCGACGACGCCGAAGTTCTCGAATAGGCTCCTCCTTACGCTTTGGCGGGAAACTGCTGAGCGTCCCTAGAAATTTCCAGACCGACGGTGCAGAAGCATAGCAGCAAAACTGGTTCGCGACCAGAACCAAGCGACATTTGATGTGCGTTTCAAGTATAATCTGCCCTGAAGTCAGGATATTTTTTCCG